GGCAGTTGTCAATACTCAAAAATCGAAATTCCTTAAATTATGCCATGGTTTTGATAATAATCGCCCGAATGAAATACCTTTACCTTCGACCGAGCGTGTCTTATTCGAGAGCCACTTTATTCATGGCACAAGCGTTTTTCGGTATCATTTTTTCTGTTCGTTCAATTTCCAAACATCATAAATTTTGGCAGATAATATAATACACGTGGCGCGAATACCACACACATATAATCTTGTATTGAATACATATAAAATACGAAGTGTGAAATTGTAGAGCGCCGTCCATAAATGACGACAAAATTCAGTACTAATTGGTATGATTTGGCAATATTTCACAATATGTCGAAATCACTTACGGCTATTTACAGCTGATTTTGCCGTTATTTATGGATGGCGCTCTACAATTGTTCAAAGTCTGACAATAAGCGGATGGCGAATACTAATACAGTTTGATGACCGTGGTATTGAACTTTTTGTTGAGGAAATGAGAGCAACACGCATTTTATTCATTCTCTCGCTCTATTCAATTGCCTTAACTTTCTAGTGTAATTCCATTTCAGAAGCATGTTTCTTTTATCATTATTTGACGATCGACACATACTTGGGTTGTTCATGGTTTTTAACACCTGCTTCGTTCTTATTATTATTGTGAATCGAATAAGTCATCATGAGAAGTGTGTATTGTTTTAAACTAGCGGAATTATTCAGAATTATTAACTCATATTGAATATATACAGAAGAGGAAGAACTGTACCACTTTTACACGTAGACTTACTTAGCTAAAAAAAATTCAACTCGAGTGGTTGAATCGAGGGTTGAATACTAAAATGTTGACATATGGAATTCTTCGGAAATATTTCAATATCAATTGAAGGTGAAATCAATTTCGACAGTTGCATTCATCTTGAGATCGACGATCATTCGTCGAAAATTTGCAATTATTTATTACTTACTATTTTATCAATTCAACGAATGAAAACAAAAACCAAATTTTTCATTGAAATTTCTCTACAATTACGATTTATTGTTATTTTAACTCAAATTTCATCGCTAAAAATTATCAATTATTTCATCGAAGTGCTATGATCCATTTGGCGATGGTTCATTGTGAAAAAATGAGCTTTTAACAACGATTTAATCATACTCGGTTAATTAAATTGTTTACGGGAAACAATCTTATCTTTGAAATCGAAATGTACATATATGCAAACCGGAGACGTCATTTAGAGTGAAAAGTAAAAAAAATGACATCAGAAGAAATGAATGAATGAAATTTCTTTACAACAAACAAATGTAAATGAAGTCGAACAAATTATTATTGTATATCAAAAAGGTGTTCTTTGATTTTCATAACCAAATGAATGAATGCATGCCTTGTTTTTACGATAAGAACGACTGGTACGTGAAAATGATAAGCATGTGCTCTCATTCTCCTATTATGTCTACTGTTTGAATAATTAGGATATTATTTATTTAAATATCTTGCATTTCAATCGCCGATAAATTAATAAATGCACTGCACCCAGTGAAAAACCACAATAAATGTGAAGGTTTTTTTTTCAAAGCTGATCAGTTTGTGTCATGAAAGCATCAACTAAAGATTAATAGGTTCATTTCAAAACCACCATCACCACCTGATGGGCATAGTCAGCTGGGCAGAAAGATGTGGACAATCAAACTATCCAGGCGTATACTTAAACCTATTGTTCTATGGAAATAAAACTGGAATAAAAGCTTGAAAAACTTTAGTCCTTTTGTCTATTAATATATTGTTCGATATTGTAAAATACATCATATTTATTCGCCAACGGTTTGTCTGAACTTCACTATGTTCATGAATGACAAATTGTTAGAAGCTTTTTCAATTCGCATTCATCCCACATTCGCATTCGTCGTCGATATTTCTTTTGTTTTAATATAACTTTGTCAACCTGTTAATTATTTGCTAAAAATAGAAACGAAATATGTAAAATGCACTACATCACCACTATTTATTTCTCCAAAAATATTCAAGTGGGCGAAAATGTAAACGAAACTACGACTGACCTTATTAGGTCATGATTCATGATAAGAAAAAGGAAAAGGTTAAACTCGCTCTATTTTAGAATACGAATATTGTTTATCCAAAAATAAACACGAGAAAGTTGGTGGACAGCGGAAATTAATTAAAATTCATCCATAGCTCATGTCGCAAGGCACTTTAAATGGAAATTTAAAGACTTAGCCAATACAAAGCAATTGGTTCCCTCTTACTTATTGTTCGTTTGGTTAAAATAAAAAAGATAGCATTTTGATTAGTTTTTCTTGTGAATTCGCGTAGTTATAACAGCACCTAAGATATTGGATTCATTTTCTGTTTTGTTCATATTTATCAGTCGAAAATGTATGATACACAATCTGAATCGAGAAATCTCTCTTTTGCTTCTATTTCGATCAATTCTTTTTCAGCAGAACTACGAAAAAAGAAATTTGACTTCAACTTGAATGAAAAAAAAAAAAATTAAGAACTCTCATTCCCATTCTGAATTTTTGCATACAGAATATTTTTGTTTTGAACATTCTCACGTTAGTACTGTGTTTTTTTTTGACATTTTTGCACAATTTTATGGTCTTAACCATTTCCTGTAAATACACCTGTGTATGGAATATTGAAGAATTTTTTTGAATTTTGTCCGACTGCAAAGCCAAAGCGCATTTTTGCCACATTTTTCCAATTTTGTCAAATATTTTGTTTTTTGCCTCTTTTACCAAACGAAAAAAAAAATCGAACAAAAAAACAACAATCTAACTCGAAATGGCTGTTGACCCGGAAGCGCAGAGGCGACGCGAAGAATGCGAGCGCAAGGCACGGCGTGGCGAAATGGATCCGCGGTTGGAATTTATTTTCCAGTTGCTTATGGATGGCACACAGCTTCCTCGACATCAGATTATGGATCACATTTTCGAAGGCGATATGGTAAATAACGATTATTGACTAAATGCAACGGCATTTCTAATCCCCCCAATTTCTTCGTTGAATTCATTCAAAATGTTATGTACGGAGACTGGTGAAAACCAGTTTAATTTTTTTTTTCAATTTCAATGACCATAAATAGAATTCAACACTTTATTGCCCATTGTCGATTATGCCTTAATCAAATGAGGTCAAATGACCAAATTTCGTTCTAAATATACCGAAATCAAACGCACAAGTTCAACAGTTTCTAAAATGATAATTGATATCAGTCACTTGTTCCGAAATTAGAATCTATGATTTCGTCTAATCGACAATCTACTTTCCTTGTTCAGATGATATGGATTTATGTGTATACAACTTTCTAACTCTGTCTAACTACTCTTACCGGCGTTACTTTTTTTGCACGAAAATCGGTAATTTCAATTCGTAACTTTCGAAATTCGGACGATTCATCGATTGAAAGTACATTATGTGTCTGAATTTCCGTCATAATCCTCTGGATTACGTTTTCAATTTACTTTTAACACGCAGATGTACCAAATGGAAACGTTTTTTCGATGCTTTGTTGTCATTAGCTCGGTTGCAAATGGGAAAATTTCTTCCGATTTGATTACATTTGAACGTCAATGAATATGATGTGGATTAATGAGAGACATGCCATTAATTTCACAAATCTCCGTTTGTATAAAGCCATTTCGAGCGCATTAATATTGATTGAAAATTCAAACAGTTGGACGAAATAAACCAGCTTTTTCTGCCCAATATGCGCAACAAACTGATGTGGTTTTATCAGGAAGTTGATGAACCTGATTCAGTGGCACAACAAGACCAACCAAAACCGGGACCATCAAGAGCCGCTGGAACCAGTAATACATCGAAAACACCACAAGGTGAGAACCACTGGAACCGTATTAATAAGGAAAAAAAATGAGAAAATCGTATGGTATAGTCGCTAAACTGCAGTCTTTTATCCCAAATCACAACGTACGATATTCTTTATTCGTATGTTTGTACATATAAGAGTAAGTAAGCATTGATAATACAGCGATAACAGCATCCTAAATTTGTCAATGGTTGACAAAGCCACATATATGACGTCATATACCACGTTTACATTACGATTGAATGACAAGATTAGCATCATATTTGTACGGGGGTTTTCTCTCTGCAGGAACCACGCCTGCCGGACCGGCTCACAAGCATAAGCTCTTTCTAACCGATGGATGGAATTGTCCTTTCACCAACATTTGTATTTACATCTTTCGGTTGAACACGACAAAGCCGTTGCCCGAAGAAGGTTTTCAGAAGGATTTGTAAGTAAATCGCATTAATTTATTCGTGTTTTGTTCTCCGTTTTTCTTATCCGTCATTTTATGTCGATACATTTTTCACGAGTTTTTGTTGCCACATTTGCAAATTGAACACGTATTTTGCATATTTAGTGGAAAACGTTGAGCATTTACTTCCAGCCCATTCCGTTCCGTTCATTTGATTTGGTCAGTACGATTATTGGTGGTAAATTTCCGATGTGTGAATAATCGATTCATTGTTGAAAAATTGCGAACAGACAACCTCATTCTGAAATAAGTCAATTGAATGATTTCCATTAGTTCATGCAAATTAGTTGGCTACATGCAGCAGCGATTGGAGAGAAAATTCCACTGTTGTGCGAATCAAGCGATTAAAATTTGCTTTCTTTCTTTGTGCGTGTATAAACTGTTGTTGGTTGACATTTTGGCGCCGTTGAAACCATTTCATGTATCATTTTTTTTACGTTGGCATATGCTTTGAATTACCTTGACAAGACCATACATCCGTTCGACCGTCAGTCGGTGACATATTTTTAGATGTATTCAACTCCTCCGCACGACTTCTCTCTCTCTCTCTCTCTCTCTCTCTCTCCTCTCTCTCTCTCATTACAATGTTACTTTTCGATTGATGTTTATCGGCGACCGCCAAGAATCACCGGCAATGCCATATTGTAATCGTATGATTGACAATTTTTTAATGAATAAATTATTGTCTGATGGTTACCATATAATGTATCGAATGAAATTGATCAATTCCATTATATTGACAGTATTCAGTCGTCAGTGCAAAAACCATTTCGACCAATTTTAGTTACTTTGTGCGCAATAATGAACAAATAGATTCAGAAGAAAAAAAATTCATACTGGTTAGTTCCTGACATTCATTTTACCTTTTTTGTGTGCTTCCTTGTGTCGGCATGGAAAGGTACTGCGGGTTAATTGATGCAAAAGTTGGTTTAGTGACGTCAATCGAACGTATTGTCGAATTCGTCTTTATGCAAGCATTAGCATATCCGAATGCTGAACTTGAGGATGACGATATGGGCTGTAGCTTGATCAATAGCCAATTGTTACCTGGTTTGCGATCGTTTTGCAGTGCACTTCGTGTATGCGAACAGGTTTGCCAGAACAAAAATGTGTTTGACGATGGAAAAACACTGTTCCCAAGAACCGGCATCAATACTGAAGTTCAAGAGATGTCAACGAACAAGGAATTTTGCGGTGAACTCGAAGAACGTGTTTTGAATTGGATTCGAGATGTGGCGAAAGTGCTAATGGAAAGTGAACAGCTTCGGAAAGAGAATGATACAAGCGGACCCCAAGATGAACTTGAATATTGGAAGAAAAGGGCTGCACAATTTTCACAGCTTTTATCACATTTAGAGGTGCGTCAAAACGATGGACAATTCTGTTTCGATGTAAATCAATAATGTGTTGGTTTTAATTTTTCGAACTGCTTTAGGATAGAGACACTCAATGCACGATACAATGCTTGAATTTAGCCAATTCAAAGGTGATGAAAGAATGGAAGGAGACGGATAAGAAAATAACATTTTGCTACAATGAAGCACGCGATAATTCCAAGTTTATTCAAGCCATTGAAAATAGTTGCCATGCACTATATTTAGATGACCCAGTTAATATGAGGGAATCTATTTTGGGACTGTTGCAGACAGTCCGTCTAATTTATAGTGTCTCACAATTTTACAACACCTCTGAACGCACATCATCGTTGATGGTTAAGGTAAACAAACGAGAATTTCGAACAATGGTGTGCAATATATACAGACGCTCACTGTTCTCTCTTCTATCAACGTTTTTAATTTAGATAACAAATCAAATGATTGAAACCTGTAAATCGTATATTACGTTTCGTGGGAAAGAGACGATTTGGTCGCAGGATCGAAGTATCATAAGAACACGATTGAGCAACTGCATCAAATTGAATCACATGTATCGAGAGACATACTATGGCGTACGCGAACAGCCATTTTTGCCCAATCAGTCACCGTTTGGATTTTCGGAAAATTTTGTATTCGGAAAATTCGATACGTTTTGTGACCGATTATCAAAAATAATTGCAATGTTCAATTTGATTGACGATTACAATCATCTGTTCGCTCGCCGCCTCGAGGGATTGTTGCTCGGTGAAGCGCTCGAAAATGCAATGGCCACATTTGAGGAGGCAAAAAAATTGGTCGTGTCCAAGGTAGGTCACATTCGCCGGTGAAAAATGAAATAGTTTATGGAAATTATCGGATAATTTACAGCGATACGACTATCTGGATCATCGAAATGCCGAGTTTAATGTGGATTACAATGCGTTTATAACAAAAACGGATGCTCTAAAAACATCGATTGGCACCGTTATCGAATCGAATTTCGATTCAGTGTGGGAAACGCCGCAATGTATGCGGTTTTTAATTCGTTTTGAAAAGGTAAACATGAGCACTATCTTTAGACATAACAATCACACCTTCGATATGGAGCTTTGTTATTGTTTGTTATCTATCGTGTTATTTACTTTCGTGTCTAGGTCAGTGAAAAGATTCCCTTGACCATGATGCACGATAAATACCAACGCATTTTAAAGTATAGCGAGAAGGAAGTTCAGCGTATTTTGACATTGTTTCGTAAGCAACGCGATGATCCACCTTTGCCCCGTACATTCGCTCCAATTGCCGGCAGAATTAAATGGTGTCGTGCACTTGAATGCCATCTCACTGAGTTGGTGTCGAGTGTGACTTCACATCAAGTGCTAAGAACGCTGCCGGCAACCAAAGATCTTGAAAATAAATACTCATCGGTTAAAAATATTCTCGCTGAATACGAACAAGAAATGATAAACATTTGGTTGGATCAAGATGTTGCCGTTGCCGATGTGGCACTTCTGCAGCCAGTTTTGGCACTTCAACACGACCGATTATATGTTAATCTCCATCCAACCATACCGCTGTTGATACGAGAAGCAACTTGCCTTGCAAAAATGAACATCGAACTACCCATTGTGGCTGCTACATTATTCACAAAACAGCAACACTTCCATTCGATCCAAGACTCGTTGAATGTAATTAAATTTTCATTTTGAAAATTGTTCAATTTCAAAGAATTCAGTATAAAAGGTGTTACTCTTCTAGGAACTAATCAATATGTTCTTGAAAACGGTGAAACAAGTCAAATTAGAAGTACGACCACTTTTCTTGCCACAGCTGGTTCAATTGACTTCACTGCTGAAACCTGGCTTAACACGAATAAGAGTAGGATATTTCACATACGAATCAAATGAATTTTAATTATTCTTTTCTTCACACAGTGGACAAATCCAAGATGGGTCGAATTTTATGAGAAATGCAAAAATGCCATTGAAACGTTCAATGTGCTGGTTATACGAGTTCATGATATTTATGCGAATCGCATTTTAAATGTATTATCAGCCATGCATGATGTGTCATTACAAAATCTACCAACTGGAGATGAGCTCTGGACAATCGAAGAATTTTTGGAAAAGAATGAAGAATCTTGTCGGTTGGTTGAAAACGATTGAAAAGAAATGTTGGACGAAAGTGTCATTTTTGCATAAGTAAAATTCGTCTTTTTTCGCATAGATTGGCAGCTATTGAATTGAATCGCAAAAGTCAAATGGTGTCAGAGGCCGTTGAAGAAGTGTTAAGTTTAGTTCAAGATGCCACTCAAAAGTTCAAATCGATGATGAGCACAGATAGTGAAGATATGGCTCAAGGTAAAACATTGTGGTCACCATCAATCCTTTTTTTTGTATTTACTCATAATTTCAATTCAATTTTTGTAATGAAAAATCCTTAAAACCAGACGAATCTCGCATAAACACAATACGTTCAAAGGAAAATGGCGAAGAATCGGGCGGCAACGGTCAACAGCCACAAGATTGGAGCATTCTTTGGTCGTGTTTTGAAAATCCCGTATCATTACTATCGGTAAACAATGGTTTACCGAAGGGAATGAAGGAGATGGTAAGTAATGCTGTGTCCGAAATGCGACGATACTACAGCCGAAAAGTTATCGATGTGCTGATAAAAGTGACGAGATCATCGTTGGACATGCTGCGTAAGCGGTTCATTATTGAAGAGGTCGAAAATGATAAAAGTGAAACATCAACGACCAAACCAAAACCATCGAATATCGAAAAACAGAAGCCCATCTTTTTGGTGCATTCCACTTTAATGATACCGAACATAACAATTCGACCGACACTTGACGACTTACAAGAAGCACTAATCACCGCGGGAAAGAACATAACCGGCGTCGCAAAAGGCGTTGCTCAATGGAGTTCGGGAAAAGAGGTTAATTTTTCATGACACAACAGTTTTTCTGTGCACATAATGACTATTAAAAGTAGAAAAAGTATCGAAATCTGTTCACAATTTGAAAATCCTTTTCATTTGTAGTCATCTCAAGGTCATATTCGATTGCCACGGCGTTCTGAGCACGACGATAAACGCTCACGTCGACGCAAACTCTACAATTTGCAATCAGAAGAACGTCCACAAATGCCACACATGACAAAGAGCTTTTATAGTTTTGTAATGGAAAACAAAGAAGTGGTGAAAATACAAAATTTGCTAGCCAATTGTACGAAATCGGTGAAGCCGGAATTGGCAACTTTTGTTAAAAGTTGGAAACCATATCATTTCCTTTGGAAAAATGACAAAACCACCAGAGAATTGATGGAAATGGAGCTGTTGGAATTTGAATCAACGCTGAACTGCTTGGCTCAATTGGATTCAAACTTATTGGTCGAATCGGATTTTGTTTACCTTTGCAATTGCATTGCAGTCTCAACGGAAAGATTAAAATACGGCCTTGCTGTTGAAATAAAATGTAGATAGCCTTGATTCAATTGTTATATTCTGAAAATCTAAATTAATATTTTGAATTTTAGCCTGCACACACAAAGTTGGACAAGCGATGAAGAAGAAATATAAGCGTGAAATGGACTATGTGTATGCAGTGATCAATGAAATGGATAGAAAATTGGATCGAAATATTCGCGACTTGGATGATGTTCGAATGATAATGGACACTCTCGCAAAGATACGGGAACAAGAGGTGGATATGGAGCTAAAAATTGAACCAATTGAGGTGAGCTTGAGATTTTGATTCAATTTCAGCATTTTATTCAATTGCAAATTTTTCAATGATTTCCGCTCTTTAGGAAGCATTCAACATTTTGACCAGATATGAAGTAGCAGTCGACCGTGAACACTTCGATCAAGTGGACAATTTACGATATACATTCAACCAACTATTGGCCAGAGCATTGCAATCACAATGCAAATTGCTTGGTAAAATCATATTTCATTCCTTTTTTTTTGTCAAGTCGAAATTGACGCATAATTCTTCTTGAAATCAACAGAAATGCAACCAGCATTTCAATCGGACCTATTCAAGAATCTGGATACGTTCAAGTCGGATAAAATCGATTATGTCAATGAATACAGAAATACCGGTCCAATGCAGCCCGGTTTAACGCCGCGTGAGGCATCAGATAAACTGATTCTCTTTCAGAATCGTTTCGAAGGGTTATGGCGTCGTTTGCAAACCTACCAAAGTGGCGAAGAGCTATTTGGCTTGCCTCAAACTGACTACCCTGAACTTGGTCAAATCCGCAAAGAGTTGAATCTCTTGCAAAAATTGTACAAACTGTACAACGATGTAATCGATCGTGTGAGCAGCTACTATGACATTCCGTGGGGCGAAATCGACATCGAAGAAATCAACAATGAGCTGATGGAGTTCCAAAATCGCTGCCGCAAACTGCCAAAAGCGTTGAAAGAATGGCCAGCATTCCATGCGCTTAAGGGAACCATAGACGACTTTAACGATATGTGTCCATTGCTCGAGCTCATGGCGAACAAAGCCATGAAGCCTCGCCATTGGTCACGAATCATGGAAGTCACGAAATTTACATTCGAATTCGATACGGCTGGTTTTTCGCTGAAAAACATACTCGAAGCCCCGATCAGGCAGCACAAAGAGAGTATTGAAGACATTTGCATAAGTTCAATAAAAGAAAAAGATATCGAGAGTAAACTGAAGCAAGTGACAAACGAATGGTCTGTTTACGAGCTGCAGTTTATGACGTTCAATAACCGCGGTGAACTTCTCTTGCGTGGGGACACCACAGCGGAAACTATAACGCAATTGGAAGACAGTCTAATGATACTCGGTTCATTAATGTCAAATCGCTATAATGCACCATTCCGGTAAAATCATATTTGTTTTTTTTTTAAATTTCAAGTCGAAATTAACGCATAATTCTTCTTGAATCCACATAACATTTTTATAACATTTGTATTTTGCAAATTTTTCGAAAAGCAAACAAATTCAACAGTGGGTGTACGATTTATCGAATTCGAATGAAATTCTAGAGCGCTGGTTGTTGGTTCAAAATATGTGGGTTTATTTGGAGGCAGTTTTTGTAGGCGGCGACATTGCAAAGCAGCTACCGAAAGAGGCGAAACGCTTCTCGAAAATCGACAAATCTTGGCAGAAAATTATGCAACGTGCTCATGAGACACCCGGCGTTGTAGCGTGCTGTGTAGGCGACGATTTGCTCAAACAGCTTTTGCCCCATTTGCAAGAGCAATTGGAGCTGTGTCAAAAGTCGTTGAGTGGATATCTTGAGAAAAAACGCACAATGTTCCCAAGGTTCTTTTTTGTCTCCGATCCGGCTCTGTTGGAAATTCTAGGTCAAGCTTCCGATTCACACACGATACAAAATCATTTACTTTCGATTTTTGACAATACACGATCCGTTAAATTCCATGACATTGAATATAATAAGATGTTAGCAGTTGTTTCGTCAGAGGGTGAAGTTATTCAATTAGACCGTGCAATTCGAGCTGAAGGTTCGGTAGAAACCTGGTTAACATCGCTGCTTCACTCGTCACAACAATCTCTACATTCGATCATTCGAATGGCATACACAAATGTAAATGACCCAAATTTCAATATGGTTCCATTTTTGGAGAAAATGCCGGCACAAATCGGTTTGCTGGGCATCCAAATGATATGGACACGCGACGCCGAATTGGCGCTAATTCAAGCACGAATGGAAAAGAAAGTCATGGTTGAAACGAACAACAAATTTTTGGAGATGTTAAACACTCTTATCGATCAAACAACTCGCGACCTAACCAAAATTGAACGGATTAAATTCGAAACACTCATTACGATTCACGTGCATCAGCGGGATATTTTTGATATTCTGGTAACGTTCTCGTTCTGATTTAAATACAATTCTTTATTGATATTCGTAATATTTTACATTGATTTAGTGTCGCATGGGAGTTCGTTCTGCAAATGATTTTGAGTGGCTTAAGCAGTGTCGTTTTTATTTCAAAGAAGACCATGACAAGACCTGGGTGTCAATCACCGATGTTACATTTGTGTATCAAAACGAATATTTGGGATGTACAGATCGTTTAGTAATCACACCGCTTACAGATCGTTGTTACATTACTTTGGCACAGGCATTAACAATGAGCATGGGAGGCAGTCCATGCGGACCCGCTGGAACAGGTAAATTTCAATCGATAACAAATAAAACTATAAATAAATAATAATGAATAACTCAAACCATGACAAATGAAATCCAAATGTTCTGACCCTTTTAGTCATTTTCTAACTTCAGTAGTAGATTTTGATTCTTTTTCTTCTAATACTTTGATTTGGATTCAATTGATTGATTCCATTTCTATCGTAAAAGAGTTATTATATGAAGATTGCACTTAAGCACACAGTTAGTACGTGATTTGTAGACGGCACACAGATTTGTGGCTCGTCAAACGCGGGCAATTGTGTGGTTGTTATTTGATTTGCATCATCATTTATCAGGTAAAACTGAAACTGTCAAAGATATGGGAAAAACGTTGGCAAAATATGTAGTCGTTTTCAATTGCTCCGATCAGATGGACTATAGGTGAGTGATCAAATAGATTATAGGTAATTTATTGAATTTGCGTTAACATAAATTTCACTTTAGGCACTTTTATCCAATGAAATCATAATAAATTGAATGCCAAACGAAAGCAAATTATCGAAAATGTATTATTCAATTTACGTAGTTATTTGTTTTCTTTGAAATTGATTTGTAATTTGTATTATGTATCGATAAGCCGTCGCGCCGATGAACGAACGACTTCGTGAAAGAAGGTACAAGAAATGAAATTAACCGAAACTGAAAAGAACGGAAAATTGTCAGCGAATACGTGCACAGCGAAGCACAAAGTTGTTGTTGTTCACTTCTGATTTTCTTTTCCAATTGTTTATTCACGTTCGCGAATAACACGGTTGACGTCTGATTTAGAATTCAACCGAATTATTGTGTAACTTCCATCACTGGATAATTCAATTTCAAAAAACAAACGAACACGGCCGAAATGAACAAACTGAGTCATTGCTCATATATTTATCATATTCTTTTGTTTTTCTATTTACGAACGAACGAAAAAAAAATCGGCTTTGACGTTGCAGAGGTTTGGGTCGTATTTACAAAGGATTAGCGCAATCTGGAAGTTGGGGCTGCTTTGATGGTGAGTGATTTTATCTCATTGTGTGCCGTTTGAGGCTTTCGCAAGTGCGTGAAGTGGAAAAAAAAGAGAAATGAATGACGTTATCTGTATCTCACGTAGAATTCAATCGGATTGAATTGCCCGTACTTTCGGTTGCTGCTCAACAAGTAGCTGTCGTACTCACCGCCCGCAAGGAAAAAAAGAAAACTTTCGTTTTCACCGACGGCGACACCATGGAATTGAATAATGAGTTTGGCATTTTCATTACAATGGTCAGTGTGTTTTCAGAGCTTATTTGAATTATCACAACAGCTTGCGTTTCAATTTTAATTTGTCTCACTTTCAACAGAATCCGGGCTATGCAGGCCGCAAGGAGCTTCGTAAGCAGAATAAACAATACATGTTTACGTAGGGAAAAAAAAATTAATTTCCATTTAACGCCCTTTTTCTTTCTCTCACATGATTTTTCAGCTGAAAATCTGAAAATCCAATTCAGAACGGTGGCAATGATGGTTCCCGATCGTCAAATTATTATTCGTGTCAAATTGGCTTCGTGCGGTTTTCTCGAAAACATTACGTTGGCACGGAAATTCTACACGCTATACAAATTATGCGAGGAACAGTTAACAAAACAAGTGCATTATGATTTCGGTCTACGAAACATTCTATCAGTTTTGCGATCGCTTGGCGCAGCAAAACGGCAAAATTCCAAGGATAGCGAATCAACGATTGTAATGCGAGTTTTACGTGATATGAACTTGTCCAAATTAATTGATGATGATGAACCTTTATTCATTTCGCTGGTTGCAGATCTGTTCCCTAATCAAGTAAATACAAAATACACGAAACTAATCAATGCGATTTGTGTATCAAATCTCCGTTAGCATGAGAACACGAATAGCATTCCGGATAAAACAGAGATTTGGCAAATCCAATTCATATCCCCTCTCTTTCCTACTTCCATTTCGGAATTTAGACAATCGAAAAGACTGTTTATGCGGAACTCGAAGCAGCTATAGCTGAGCAAACGGAAGCAGAGAATTTAGTCTATCATCCGCCATGGGTTCTCAAATTAATTCAATTGTACGAAACACAAATGGTTCGACACGGCATAATGACGCTAGGACCAAGCGGTGCTGGCAAAACAACATGTAAATTCATTATGAACGAACCACAATCGAAACATTGCTTACAATTTGATTTTTCTTCATCAAGGTATTCAAACACTCATGAAATCATTAACTCAAATGGGTGACAATCACAGGTTTGTGTTCGCTGTGCGTAATTTAATTCATAAATGCGAAATTCTAGTTGGGTGCGTGGGTTTGAATAATAATTTTACAGGGAAATGCGAATGAATCCGAAAGCAATTACCGCCGCACAAATGTTTGGTAAATTGGATGTTGCAACAAACGATTGGACGGATGGTATTTTCTCAGCACTTTGGCGCAAAACGTTGAAAATGAAGAAAAGTTCGTAGGATATGATGATATTTTTGCTTTCTTTTCTATATGGCCTATATTTTTCCGTCTTTTTCTGTATTCAAAAGATGAATACGTTTGGCTTGTGCTCGACGGCCCCGTCGACAGTATTTGGATCGAGAATTTGAATTCCGTTTTGGATGATAACAAAACGTTGACTCTAGCGAATGGTGACCGATTGAGCATGGCACCAACATGTAAAATTATATTCGAGCCTCAAAATATTGACAATGCATCGCCGGCAACGGTTTCCCGCAATGGAATGGTTTACATGAGTTCATCGGGCTTGGATTGGGTACCAAGTAATTTAACGATTGAAATATTCTGTTTTAAAGCTCTTTTCTCAAGGGGCCATTCACTAAAAAGTTGTATTACTTTTTCAGCAGCGTTGTATTACTTTTGAGTGATTTACCCTTGTCTTTTCTTCCATTGAAAATGATGAACAATTATTCACACAATTTGCTTTTTTTCTTCAATAGTTCTAAATGCTTGGCTTAAATCCCGTTCACCACGTGAGGTGACCGTTTTCCAGGAAATGTTTGACAAATCCTTTCAAACTTTGTACACATGGGAAACGCAAAACCTACAATTGAAAATGGATGTGTTACAATGCAATATCGTTAAGCAAATGCTTATTATTCTCGAAGGGTTGGTACCGAAACCAAAGACTGACGACCAAGAGGTTGCAGCTTCAGTTCATGAAAGTGTTGAAGGTAAAATGGCAATGTGCCTAGTGAAAAGCATGGTATTGAGTATTTTTTCACTTGTTGTTCAATTTAATTTCAGACGAGACACCCGAAGACCAACCGTCTGAAGAAAAAGAAGAGTTATTCTCCGTCGAGCATTTGCATCGTTTGTACATTTTTGCGATGACATGGAGTTTTGGAGCTCTTTTGAATACAGAAGACCGTAGAAAATTGGATGTTTTTGTTCATGAAAAATTCGCCGATTTCGATTTTCCAATAGAAGAATCCGAACCAAATGTGCAACAATCGATATTCGATTACTTTGTTACAAAAGCTGGCAATTGGCAAAATTGGAAAACGCTTGTTACTACCTACGTTTATCCAGAATATGCAACGCCAGATTTTTCGAGTATTTTAATTCCGATTGTGGACAACGTTTGCATCGATTATTTAATTGGTTCGGTTGCACAGCAAGAACGAGCCGTTTTGTTGATTGGCGAACAAGGAACAGGCAAAACAGTCATTATGAAAAATTACATGAAGAAAATGAGCCCCGAAACCCACGTTGGTCGCTCGTTTAACTTTTCATCAGCCACTAGCCCGTATCAATTTCAGAAAACTATCGAAAATTATGTTGAGAAACGATTGGGCAATACATTTGGTCCATCGAATGGTCGCAAAATGATTGTGTTCATTGATGACATCAATCTTCCTCAGATAAATGTGTGGGGTGATCAAGTCACAAATGAAATTGTGCGTCAAACAATGGACATGAAAGGTTTTTACAGTCTCGAAAAACCCGGTGAATTTACAAACATCGTTGATGTTCAATATTTTGGAGCAATGGGCATTCCAGGTAAACATTTTCCATTTGATGAATTTTACGAAGACATTCGAATAAATCTTTTCTATTCACTTATCCGGCGGCAGGTGGTGGTCGAAATGACATTCCGCAACGTTTGAAGCGTCAATTCAGTGTGTTCAATGTGAACATCCCTGACAACGATTCAATCGACAAGATTTTTCGCACCGTTGGCGAAGGCCACTACAATGTGAAACGTGGTTTTGTGCCAGGTGTTCGTGCTCTCGTTAAGCGACTAATTCCATTAACACGCCTTCTATGGCTAAGAACACGAAACAAGTTGCTGCCAACACCGGCGAAATTCCATTACGTTTTCAGTTTACGGGATTTATCTCGCATTTGGCAAGGCATGATTAGTACATTGTCGACAGTTATTACGAGTGAAAATATTATGATTGAATTATGGAAGCATGAGAACATGCGAGTATTTTCTGACCGCTTCACCATCGAATCGGACAAAGAGTGGTTCAGCACTGAGCTGGTTGCGTTAATTTTATCCGAATTGGGTGAGGATTATGTGGATATGGCTCGATCGAACCCAGTTTTCGTTGATTTTATGCGAGATGCTCCTGAACCGACGGGCGAAGAAGGCGAAGATGCAGATATGGTATGTATTTTTTACGAAAATGAACAATATTTCACATACCTCCCATACTTTATGTCAAAAAAATCGATAACAAATGAAAAAATGACATGAACAATTTTGTACTTTTCTCTTGCTAAAGGAACTTCCAAAAGTGTATGAACCCGTTCACTCATACGATGTACTGCGCGAGCGTTTGAACATGTTTTTATCACAATTTAATGAAATGGTTCGTGGTTTGGGCATGGATCTGGTCTTCTTCCCTGATGCAATGTTACATTTGATCAAAATCTCCCGAATCATTCGCCATCCGCGCGGAAATGTGATGCTGGTGGGCGTAGGTGGTTCGGGAAAGCAGTCATTAACAAAATTGGCCACATTCATTGCTGGATATAAGGTTTTCCAAATCAGTTTGACGCGTTCGTACAACGTGAGCAATTTTCTCGAGGATTTGAAATTACTGTACAGAAGCTGTGGAGTTCAAGGAAAAGGGACAACCTTTTTGTTCTCGGATTTGGACATAAAAGAAGAGGGATTCCTTGAATATTTGAATAACATTCTGTCTTCTGGCGTTATTTCAAATCTATTCACTCGAGATGAGCAGCAAGAAATCGTCTCGGAATTGACACCGGTCATGAAGAGAGAAAATCCAAAGCGGGCCATAAATGCGGAAACGGTGATGGAGTATTTCTTGCAGCGTGCCTGTCACAATTTGCATGTTGCATTCTGTTTTTCGCCGGTTGGCGAAACATTTCGTCATCGTGTGCAACGTTTTCCAGCTCTGGTGTCTGGCTGTACCGTCGATTGGTTCCAACCGTGGCCAAAAGACGCTCTCGTTTCGGTTGCTCGCCACTTTTTGGCCGATTTTCAAATTGAATGTGTTGATCAGGTGAAAGTTGAATTGATTCGAGCATTAGGAACCATTCAGAGCATTGTGTCTGATATATCAATAGAATATTTTCAACGTTTTCGACGAGCCACGCACGTTACACCGAAATCGTATTTAAATTTCATTGCCGGTTACAAGAGCATTTATCAAATGAAACAGAGCGAACTAAGAGATGGTGTCGAAAAAATGGAAACTGGCTTGGAAAAACTGGCCGAAGCATCTGCTTCGGTGGAGATACTGAAAAAAGATTTAGCGGTTATGGAACAAGATCTGGCTATGTATGCTAAAATATTTTTGTTTGCATTTTCAGTTTGACATTCATATTTAAATTCATTCTCGTTTTGAATGCGGTTGTCTCTTGCAGAGCTTCGCAAAAGGCCGAAAGTGTGTTGACCGAAGTGACGGAGAAAGCCAGTCAAGCGGAAGTGGTCAAAAACCAGGTGCAAATCGTAAAGGAAAAAGCGGAGGCTCTCGTTGCGAAAATAGCAGAAGAAAAAGCGTACGCTGAAGGTATTGTTCATGAATGTAAAACATTAGCAGCTGCTACTATGATTCGAATAAAATAATTAATTACTCGATTAACAGAGAAACTGGAGAAAGCCAAACCGGCTCTCGAAGAAGCTGAAGCGGCGCTAAATACCATAAAACCCGCTCATATTGCCACTGTTCGTAAACTTGGTCGACCTCCGCATTTAATCATGCGGATTATGGACTGTGTGTTGATATTTTTCCAACGAAAATTACATCCATGCATTCCCGATACGGGTGCACCTTGCCCAAAACCAAGTTGGCAAGAGTCGCTCAAAGTAATGAGATCTCATTAAAAATTGAAGAAAAAGAAAGATAAATCTCAACACACTTTCTTCCTACAGATGATGGCGAGTACAACGTTTTTGCTACAACTCCAAAACTACCCAAAAGATTCAATAAACGACGAAATTATCGACTTTTTGCAACCGTATTTCGCTATGGAGGACTATAATATGGATATGGCACGACGTGTGTGCGGTGACGTTGCTGGTTTGTTATCGTGGACAAAAGCGATGGCATTTTTCCACGGCGTGAATAAAGAAGTACTTCCCCTAAAAGCAAATTTAACTTTGCAAGAAGCTCGACTAAAGGTAAAAGCTTTGTGACGTATTTAGCAGAGTCAATATTTTTCAAACTTTTTTTTTCGTCTCCATTTCAGCTTGCCATGGAAGATTTAGCAGGAGCTGAAAATCAATTGCTGGAGCGTGAAAATGCGTTGCAAGAGGTGAAAAATCAATACGATTCTGCCGTCGGCGAAAAGCAGCGTTTAACCGATGCGGCAAATGTTTGTTTGCGCAAAATGACGGCGGCAACAGCGTTGATTCAAGGTTTGCAGGGCGAGAAATTACGATGGACCCAGCAAAGTAAAGAGTTTAAAATCCAACTCGGCAAATTGGTCGGTGATGTTTTGCTGGCAACCGGATTTTTATCATATTGCGGCCCATATAATCAAGAGTTCCGATCGAATTTGATGAAAACATGGATGAGCATTCTGAAAGCGAAAAGCATTCCGTTCACCATAAACTTGAATATAACCAATATGATGGTCGACTCATCGACGGTTAGCGAATGGACGCTGCAAGGCTTACCAAATGATGAACTTTCCGTCCAAAATGCACTCATCGCCACAAAATCACGCAGCTATCCGTTACTGATTGACCCGCAAATTCAAGGGAAAATTTGGATAAAGTGCAAAGAAGACCAAAATGAATTGCAAATCACTTCATTAAACCACAAATATTTTCGCACTCACTTGGAAGATAGCTTATCATTGGGTCGACCGTTGTTGATTGAAGATGTTGGCACCGAACTCGATCCGGTGATTGATAATGTGTTGGAGAAGAATTTTATCAAATCGGGTAGTATTGAAAAGGTGTTGGTTGGCGATAAAGAATGTGATGTTATGCCAGGTAAGTCGGGTTTTCCAGCTTTAATGATAGTATATGAATTCATTTCGACTAATTAATTTTTGTTCAATTTATTGTATAGGATTTATGTTGTATATCACCACGAAGCTTCCAAATCCACCATTCAGTCCGGAAATCAGCGCAAAAACGTCGATTATCGATTTCACTGTGACAATGCGCGGTTTGGAAGATCAACTGCTTGGTCGGGTGATTCTAATGGAAAAATCGGATTTGGAAGCGGAACGTGTTGCACTGTTCGAAAGTGTGATGAAAAATCAGCGAAGTATGAAAGAGCTTGAAGCGAATCTGTTGTTGAGATTGAGTTCATCTGAAGGTTCTTTGGTTGATGATGAGGAATTGATTGAAGTGTTGGGCGTTACGAAAACAACAGCCGAAGAAGTTAACCAAAAATTGAAAATTTCCGAAGTGACCGAGCGCAAAATCACAGTTGCTCGCGAAGAATTCCGCGCGGTTGCAACGCGCGGCTCAATTTTGTACTTTTTAATTGTCGAAATGAGTAATGTCAATGTCATGTACCAGAATTCGCTAAAACAATTTTTGGTGATTTTCGATAATTCAATAACGAAATCAACGAAGAGCAATAACACCGAAGAGCGTATCAACAACATATTGAAATATTTAACCTATGAAATATGGGCATTCACCAGTCGCAGCTTATACGAACGTCACAAGCAACTCTACACGCTTCTTTTAGCCATAAAAATTGATTATAATAAGGGAATTATTACGCACGAAGAATTTCTTGCCTTTGTCAAAGGCGGCGCATCACTCGATTTAAATGCTGTCGCACCAAAACCATTCCGTTGGATTTTAGACATAACCTGGCTGAATTTAGTGGAAATTAGCAAACTGAACACATTTAGTGATTTACTGAAAAAAGTAAGATGACTGTCTTATGATGTTCGTTGGCATAAGATTACATCAAACGAATTCGTTTTTATTTTCATCAGATTGAAACGAACGAAAAAGATTGGAAGTTGTGGTATGAATCGGAAAAACCGGAAGCTGAAGAGATTCCATGCTCGTACAGTTCCACACTGGATGGCTTTCGTAAATTGTTGCTCATACGCTCATGGAGTCCGGATCGCACCATTTCTCAAGCAAAGAAATATATTGAAGGTAAGTTGTTTATTTTGAATATCGTTCAAATTAGTTACTTTCAACTTTACCTTAAAAACAGAGTCACTTGGCCCGGAGTACAGTGAAATGTTAATCTTGGATTTGGACGTGACATGGAGTGAATCAGAACCGCGTACACCGCTCGTTTGTATTCTGTCAATTGGTTCGGATCCGACATCACAAATCGCAACGCTTGCCAAAAACAAGAATATTCGTTCGTATCCGTTTATCACATATTCTTCGCATATTTGATTGAAACATATTTGTTTTTTTTCATCTAAATCAATAGCATTGAAAATGGTGTCGATGGGGCAAGGTCAAGAGGTGCATGCCCGGCGAATGATGAGCGAAGGCATGTCTGGCGGTGGTTGGGTGCTGCTTCAAAATGTTCATTTGTCACTACCGTTTTGTTCCGAAATTATCGACATTCTAGTGGAAACGGAGCACTTGGATGACACATTCCGTTTGTGGGTTACGACCGAAGTGCACGAAGAATTTCCAATTGGTTTGCTGCAAATGGCCATCAAATTCACTAATGAACCACCGCAAGGCATTAGAGCCAGTTTGAAACGCAGTTACCAGGTAGGGCTCGAGTACCATTTTGAACATTTGGCAACTTTTGATTCAAGTGGTTGCCTTAATTTGCGTTTGCATTGTGTCGATTTTATTTTTCTTTCACTCAAAACAAATACACATAAAACACACACCTTTTAAACATGACACAATCTAATTCGTGGTGTGTTTGACCTATTCAAAGTACGACATGAAATATTCCAAAAGAAATTTATTTTCATTTGAAAAATCTTTTTTCTTTGAGTTTTTGTTTGTGTATTTAAGTTATTCAATGTGTCAATCGAAACGTATTCTATTTGCATAGAATCATGAATGCAAATTACATGCTTATGTCAAAACCGACGAGTGTTCTAAATCGATCAGAAAAGTCAATGTTTTTTTTTCTAACTTCTACCCCGTTTCTTTTCGAGTGTTCGGAAGAGAGAGAATGACTTTTCTTTTCGCTCAATTGGCAAAAGTTGATAAAAGTTGAGTGAAAATATTGAAACTTTTTTCCAAACACACCAAAAACATCGTTTAAACCAAACTTCCATTGAAAATGAATTGAATCGAACACGAGCTCTGACATGAATAACATTGAATTGTGCGCATTTGTTTATATATTTGGCTTTGTTTCCCGGCATTTCTCTTTGCAGGCGTTTTCGCAAGACTTTTTGGACTATACGACAGCACCCCAATGGCCTCCGTTACTGTATACGATTGCATTTCTGCACACAATCGTTCAGGAGCGGAGAAAATTTGGGCCGCTTGGCTGGAATATACCATACGAATTCAATCAGGCCGATTTTGCAGCCAGCGTGCAATTCATCCAAAATCATCTTGACGAAATTGATCCGAAGAAAGGAGTGTCATGGCAAACGCTGTGCTACATGCTTGGCGAAGTGATGTATGGTGGACGTGTTACAGACGATTTCGATAAACGATTGCTGGTAACATTCACCAGTGTTTGGTTCAATGAAACATTGCTATCGCCCAATTTTGAGTTTCACAAAGGCTACCGCGTGCCAATGTCACGGAATTTGCATACGTATATGGAGTACATAAATAGTTTACCAACAAATGATACACCCGAAGTTTTTGGTCTGCACCCGAATGCTGATATCTCATATCAAATAAATACGGCCAAAGGTAAGATAACTTAAACAAATATGTAAATCGTGCGGATATACGGCTAGAACATCTCAAGTATGTGTTTCGTTCAAGGTATTTTGGATACGATTTTAAGCGTACAACCAAAAGAGGGTGGTGGTGGCGGCGGTGAGACACGTGAAAGTATCGTTTATCAATTGGCTGATGATATGCTACGAAAACTACCACCAAAATACGTTTCGTTCGAAGTTCGTGAAGCTTTGCAGCGAATGGGCGCCTTTTTACCCATGAATATCTTCTTCAGGTATACATGCGTGTGTTCTTTTGATGTCATTATCAAACTAAATTCATTCGATCCCGTATTTAATGATTCGCTTCGAAAATTTAATCAACCATTCCGATCGAATTTTAGACAAGAGTTGGATCGAATGCAAAGAGTTATTTGTGAAGTTTACGAGAGTTTATGCAATCTGAAACTTGCTATCGATGGAACGATTGTTATGGATCCGACGTTACGAGCATCGCTTGATGCAATGTATGATGCTCGCATACCCGAAAAATGGATGAAGGTCAGTTAAATGTATTAAAATTAAAGCACACAATCTGATAAATACAACAGCAAACCATGCGGATAGAAAGAGTGTTTGCGTCACGAATGTGCCAGCTTCCTTGTGACTGTCTTTAAGTTTATATTAATTGGAAAATCAATTGGTTTGCGTGGTTTGGCTGCATGAATAACTGTCAAATGACTGGAAACATTTGGCTTTTATTCCCGTTCATTTCGAGCCGATGTTAATTCGACGTAAACGGACGCATCGTTATAAGGCCATTTTTATGATTTAAGAATATTGCTGCCGGCTTTGGGGACAACAAGTAGGATGTTTGATTCAACCTTTTATGTCTTCAGCGATAATGTTCACATGCTTTGGATTTCGTGAGAAATTCAAAAGAAATCCTGCATCTCAAAGGCTTTTCTCGGTACTTATCATGCTGTTGCCGTTAGCATGCAATGTCATTGAAACAATGAGTGTTTTAGATTATTTTGAATTCAAAACACACATTTTTTTCTATGTCAATCGGATAGGAATTGACAGACTCAAAGAATTTGAAATATTTTTATGTGAATTTAATCTTAAGCTTTGCTGTCTGTTGGGTTGACTGATCGCAATATTTTGTTCTTCTGAGCAAAAGTTACTACCTTTTGGCTTATACCACAAAAGCCGGCAACAGTATTTAGTGGTAACAACACGTTGTGGTTTTGTTCAACATCCATATAATCTCCGCCCATGTGGTCGAAGTGAAATTGAGTATGAACCATTAAAGGATTATTATTTACATCTCACTGCAGTTGCTGTTGAAAAGCAGCTCTTCTCAAATATTTTCCGTCAAACTAATCTTGAATGAGATATATCGTTTAGAAGCAAATGTTCAATATATCAAAAAGCTCCTTTGCAATTTGTTCGTTTGAAGCGACTGCTGAAAGAAAATCAATTTCGAATGTGTCAATTATTTTGTCATTCTCAATTTTGTTTCTTTCACAAACAGATTTCATGGGAATCAACAACGCTCGGCTTCTGGTACACTGAATTATTGGAGCGAAATGCACAATTTCGCACATGGTTCTTAACCGAACGACCGAAGGTAAGTGGTTTGTTGCTTCACTCTATTTGTTTTGATGTAAATTTGTGTCGCGTCTCGTGTCGACAAAGTTCATTAGAAAATGATTGTTTATTTAAAAAAAAACACATCTCGTGCATAACAACATAAACATGTTTAAATTGAAGGTGTTTTGGATGACGGGATTCTTTAACCCTCAAGGCTTTTTGACGGCCATGCGACAAGTAAGATTATACTACGTCTAACCTGTTCAACACAAAATACATTCTCATACATTTTTTTGGTTCGTGTCGTCTAGGAGGTGACTCGCGCTCACAAAGGATGGGCACTTGATTCGGTTGTTTTGCAGAATCAAATAACGCGCCATAATAAAGAAGAAATTAACGAGGCGCCTGCTGAAGGTGTTTACGTACACGGGCTATTTCTCGAAGGTATTCCCAAAATACACATTATATTGAAATACTTTTTTGTTGGTACTTCATTTGGTATAATGGATAATTAATAATTAAAATTCATGTGTAGGTGCATCGCTGGATCGTCGCAGTGGCAAACTGATTGAGTCAAGACCAAAAGTTCTCTATGAACAAATGCCAGTGATACACATCTATGCCATTAATACAACGGCCGGAAAAGATCCACGACTGTATGAGTGTCCAATTTATCGAAAGCCACAGCGAACCGATCAAAAATATGTGGGTTCAATCGATTTCGAAACGGACTTCAATCCACGGCATTGGACATTACGAGGCGTTGCATTGCTATGTGACATCAAATAAAAATATTCCAATGACATGTGCTTGTTGTTGCACACCATTTATTACTTCACCTTGATAGATTTCATGAGCTACTGAAAACACAAACGAAATCAAATAAAAATAACACGCTTGTTAGAATAGAGCATCTGGCACGCTGAATGTAATGCGTTTTTTTCTCGTTCATTTCAGCTAAATTGATATGATTTTTCAATTTGAAATGATGCGATTGTTGTATGTCGTACTTCAGCCGTAAGTAAATGGAAATTTGTGAATATGACAAACACGCGTTGACATTTAATGAATAATAAATGTCAAGGTTCTAACTGACATTGTATGCTATCATCTGTGTGGCAGAAAATTAATTGAAACTTCAAATTTTCCTGTGTCCAATTTTTCATTTGTAGTTTCAATTTTAATAACTGTGGTATTTTCCTATTGCATGAACACCACTCATTTTCATCTCCGTGTGTTGAGATTCATACACGGAAATGAAATGAAAACTAAATAAATATCCTTAGTGGATAACAAAGCAAACCAAATAAATCCACACTCGTTCAAACTATGGGTTCATTAACCAGCATATGTTTCCACTGAATGCGAAAGTGCAATAGTTATGACGATGAAAATATAACAATAATTAAACTATCCCAAGTTCATTCAATGGAGACTGACCCCAACAGTGAGTCGAAGCTATCGAAACAATACAGTGCTGCCGGTGGAAGTGAAGTTTCCCTAAACAATGTACCACCCGCATCAAATATGTTTGATTCAATTTTCATTGCTGACAACGGAAGTTGTTTTTGACAGTCGCTTTGTGTTTCATTCGATGTGATCTCATTTTTGTTCCGTCAATGGGAAAAACTCTATTGTTTCATCTCGACAATCAGCTGGACAAACGGACAAAGGTACCGAATTATGAAAATTATAACAATTTTACTCATATTGACGCACCTCAAGCATACTCAAAAAAAACCGCTTCAACGGATGCTCCACTTTGATGAATAATATGCTTTCGTATACGAACAAAACATAGCCGACCGAATAAAACCGAAAATCTATGCGAATTGCAACATCTTCTCACCGCTATTATTACGTTATTAGAAAATTTCTTTTCTATTTTTAAACTCTGATTAGCAGACGAGTTATTAAATAGAAACCGCTTCAATCAATTTTTTAATGACGTCACTTTAGGTCAGATGTGGAGTTTTGTTGCGAGTCTATCGATTTTTTGATGTCCCACTTCAAACGAAAAGAAGAAAAGTGTCGGCAAACACAAAATTTTCCCATAGAAACGGCTGACTTTGGAGCTGCAGCAGCAGCAGCCAAAACCATGTGGTCTTCAATATAATCATGACATTTCGAAAAATTCAAAAGCATATCGATTTTATTATGATTATTATGTACTGTTCAAGCGCGTGTTTTCCTGTAATTTTCCAGCTCGTTTTATTCGTTGGTATCATGTTAGCATATTTGACGGTTAGGCTTATCGCTGGTTGTTTTTTGTGAGCGCTCAACTGGCTCGTTTCGTCATCAACAACGTCTAATTTAACGGTTCATCAAATTTTGACATTTTGTCAAACCATTTATTTATATGCTTCAAATAACACAGTACACTTGTGCCTGCGCCAGTTGAACTTTCAATTAGAAGGAACAACCGATGATTTCGTACAGTTTTCTTTCACTGAATGTGTTCATAACCATTATTATTTCACAAATTGTGCTGTTCGCAAGGCACTTATTGATTTTGGTAGTTTTTTTTTTCGCTCTGTCTTCTTCCTATTTTTTTCGATACGGAAGTTGGCATGTGGCTGTGTCTATTGATCTGAAACACGGTTTATTTGGGTCAACTCCTGTGGTTTTCCCAATTAAGGATTATTGCTGTTGATTTCAACATTTTTGAGCATGCCGTTGTGTTGTTTTGCTTTCAATGCATCAACGGAATGTTGTTGCTGTGGATAACAGCACAAAAGTGACGACATATACGCCAAATGGTACAGTTCATTGAACTATAGCATCAATTGAACACATTTATCGGGTTTCTTTTCACATTTTGGGAGTTTCAATACTTACCATTTCTATGGCTTCGCCTGAAAATCGACAACGAGGGAGAGAAAAAATTCCGGAAAAATTACAACACGACCGAGCGTCAGAGTTCAATAAATTAATTTTCATCTTTTTATTTGTGTATATTGTAATCTGGTAATAATAGATTTTTTTTGGGGATAATATTTATATTTAAAATAGATAACACATCGATTTGATTAAAATGAATCTAGAGTTTCACATTGTTGTTGATACCTTGTTTTATGTTGTTGTTGTTTTCTTTTTTCTTTCATTAAATTCATAAATTTAAATTTCTCATTTAAATGTATGTGTATAATTTGAGTGTTTGGGTAAATTTGTTCTGTTTGTTTATTGTGTGTTTGTGTGTATTTTTTGAGCTTTTTGTTTTTCTTTGTGTCACAAAAATTTTGCGTTGATTTTCTCATAATATGTTTAATTGTCTCTGTCGTTTCTGTTGTGATGTTTGGTTGTAGTTTTGACAAACATTCACTTGACATTTACAGCACAAAATTAATTTTTCAGCTACATGCACATACAATGAGTGAGAGACAGAATGAGGGAGAGAGATACAGACTTTAGGGAAAAATCTTGGAAAATTTTCTGCTATGGGTTTTATACAATTTCAATAAACAATTTCTGTACGCTTTTCTTAGCATTAAATAAAAAAAAATAAATACTTTTGTTGTCTCGACATGAATGAAATATATGTTGATTTCGATGAATTTTGGTTTTCTTTATACACAAAAAAAAAACGTAATTGAACATTGTTAAAGCGTGGAAGGGTAATGCACGTCACCAAGCATGTTCAAAATACATTGGAAAGGGAGTTTAATGGAAGCAAATGAGCAATATAAAATGGTCGCAAGTTAGTGAGCAAATTGCTTTGCGCTTGAATGAAGGGGATTTTGGTCAATGAGCTCTTTAAATTTCATTATCACTTTTCGTACTGTGTTTTCTATTCATCATGAAGAAGAGACACACGCAAAGCGTCATATGGCCAAAAACCGGAAATTGAATTAAGTTTAGTATTTGAGTTTTATTACAAAGAAGCGTATACAAAAAAAAGTATTATATATACGACGCAGAACCAATTGAAAAACAAAACGATAAAGCCAACCAAACCAAACATCGAATTAAATTCGCTCGAGCAAAAATGCCGTTTCTTCTAGGCCTTTAAGTGGAAAACAACCAGAAATGTCATTGTTGTATTTTATAGATATTCATTTTGTCTGTTTGTGTATGTGTATGTGTATGTGTGTCTGTGTAATTTTCACATTAAACGTACACTTAAATCTAGAAAATATTGTAAATACTGTTACAAAGTTTACAAATGAAGTGGTTTTTTTGGGTAAGTGAATGAGAGCCGAACCGTGTTCCGCCACTGTGTATGTGTCATATGCCAACACATTCACGTTTATTTACTGTGTTTATCCTCCTCATACGTCACAACGGAATGAACATGATTTGTTTGTTTGTTTTTTTGCTTTGTGCCACATACCATTTTCACTTCATCTCATACAATCTTATGTATTCTTCTTCTTCGTTTTTTTTCTCATTTGTTTGCTTCTGCCATTTTTTTCATATCACTTTGCCATCACACCGTCCATCCGCATCAAGTTTAACACTGAATTTTGCAAATTGAGAATGAATATTCTAAACTTAAACGAAATGTGTTCAAAAATTAAGACAACCGAAATTCAGTACCAAACAAAAAAAAACGAAGATTTGGAAAGGAAACAAGTCAACATGAAATTAATTCAAATCAAGTGATTGCATGAAGTCGCCATTATTATCGAGCGGTTGCTTCTGATGTTGCTGCTGTTGCTGTTGTTGTTGGGCCGGATCTGTTTTTTCATTGATTTGCTGGTTCCAATCGCGTAGAAAACGTGATTTGTGTCCATTTAAGGCTTGCTGTTTTTGCAATTTCTCCTCGTGCCATGCATTTTCATCCGGACCAGCGGCGGCAAATGGATCACCAGCTTGAGCATCAAAGTCATTGTTTAAGCGCGATGTTGACGTTCGAAAGAAACGCAATCGTGATGGAACCGTTTGTTTTGTATCAATGGCGTTTGTGTCATCAAAATAGTAGTCCGACGATGGAATATTGTAAGAGGGTCGATCGTTTAATTGTGCCTCGGCGATTCTATTCAAAATCGCATTGAGATCGGAATGCTGTTGGAATGGCTCAAATCGTTCAATCCCATTGTGTCGTTCATCACCACTACTCCGTTTGCCTACATTTTTCAGTATCGCTCGGTTGATTTCAACCTGAAAGAAAAAATACACATCACAATGACTTGTTATTTTTGATTTTTTTTTTCTGTTCAAATCGGAATATAAAAACTGAATTGATAAGGAGTGTATTAAAAAAAAATCTTATCGCCCTATTTGATGTTCACGCCAAACATCTTTCCATTCAGATTCACAAAACAAATCATCCGACAGTGCGTACACTGTCCGACTGGACTAAAATTTAAGGGAGCAAAAGGAACCAATTCCGTTGATTCATGCGTAGTCGTTTTTGCGGAAACCCATAAAGTCGTTCATGGCCAAGAGTGGATATTTTTAGTTACACATAGCGCCGTCTGCTACTCAAATACACCCAATTTCATCAATCTAAACAAATATTACATCACACACCAGATGATATGTGTGCTATATTTGAACCATTGATAATGACCAACACTTATTTCTGTACATTGACGTATGAATGAATCGCTTCTTATTTTTACGATGTTATGGATTCGATTGTTGTTGGCTAATTGCGTTGCACGCAATTCCATTCAGTGAATTATTAATTTGATATTGCTTAATTTGCAACACACATTAAAATATATCGAAAACAATGCAAACTTTCAAAGGATGTTCACATTTCGTTGGACGTTGATTCACATTCAATTGGTTATTCCCATCCAAATGTAACCGGTTTTCAGTGCGGTTCGGATCGACAATGCAATAGATTCATCAAATAATGTATGCATTGCTCAAGTGGTCACACAAAATGATATTGGTTATTTTCAATTGGGTATTTTATAGCCAATAAACCGAAAAAAGGTCCTTAAAATATCAATAAATCATATTTAATATCATTCGAATGAGTCGTATCAAATCTTCCATCGATTTGTATCATTTTCCATCTGTTCAATTGGTATCAAATCTATCCACTATGCAAGTACTATCAAACCGGTATGCAAGAAATCCGATTTTCCAATGGAATATTTCATTTGAAATAATTCAATTTGCAATATCGATGGAATTATTATTGGTATGGCTGAAATGCATGGGATGTATTTGGATAACCAAATCAGCCAGCAATGGCCGGCATAAACTATGATATTTTGTATTTTATCATGGAAAAATACTTCGCAATTTAATTTCACTTTCAGTGCATGTGAACCGTGACTGGGCGTCATACACTCGTCAACCACTTTGGCAAGTGGTATAATTGAAAGCTATTGACCAAATCATGATAAAATATTTATTACTTAATTACAGGATGTTTGCTTATCACCGCGAGTTGCGTCAAACGGCACGCTAACATTTTTATTTTACTTTTTTTATCATTTTCATATCACCTTATCATTTCTATTCATTGTGCAAAATGTTGGTGCGACGTTCAAAAGGAATCCGAATTCATGTAAATGTACAGTGTACGTGCAGTCACTTCGTTTCTTGCAATTCAATTAAATTGAATTATGCATAAACTTTGAATTGAATTTTCAGCGAAAGAATTTCCGTTTTGAAGATCGCCTTGATTTCACTACGAAAAATTCGTTTGATATTCGTGCGTGAATTATGCCATTCTACGCTCCAGACAGATACGACCCGATGTGTACGCCATTGATATATTTAATCAATTTTGGTACCAAACGTGAATGCCAAAGCACTCCATCAAGACGTATAATAATAATTTACATAAAATATCACACAACAAAAGGGAGTCGCGAGCACCGATGACTTGATTTATATGCATCAATGCACATCAAATGGTTTATGACACATTAATCACACAAACAAATCAATAATTTATGATGACAATCAATGTGTTCGCGTCGACGAAATTTCGACACTTCAATTATGTTATTGTTTGGATAGGTCGTTCGTAGTGTGTCCATCGATTAGATAAATATATGTGTTGACTATTCCGTCCAAGTGATAGTCAATTGTCTATTCATTGTTATTCTAATTTAGTGTTGTCTATTTGTGTGCTTTCGTTATGCGTATCATTTCATTGGGATCAGGCCATTCATTGCAATTATCGATAGAACACAACGGAAACTATATTCAATTGGCAAAAGGAAAATCTGATTTTTCGACGCAAGAAGCTTTTTCAAGCGATTTTTCCATTGATTGAACATTTAATGCCTGCAGGCATGCAGCGTAAAATGGTTTCTGCGACGCTTTTCACGAAATGACGCAGCGTCAATGGGATATAGAACATTGAATCGCTTCAAATAATTCACCATTTTAAATAATGAGCACATAAAAGAGCGTATAAAATTAACAAGATCAGAGGGAAAAACGGTAGTGCAAAAGCGTTTATGCATTTTATATTTTCGTTAGCTCCAATCGAGGACAACTTGTGCTAGCACAAACACGGGACTGTGTTCTCCGCTCCGCATTCGATTACAAACGCGTAAATTGCTCTATATGCAACGCGATCTACTCGTTTCGCGATTTGATTGCGCCGTACTTCTTTCATCGTACGCGATTTGACACAAATCTAATCGAATTTAAATGGATGGTGGGTGGTTTTTTTTCCTTTCGTTCGCAACAGCAGAAATAATTGAAACATAAAAACATCGCGTAATGATCACCTCATCAATGTCTTTTTCTCACTCTCCCCCTCTTTCCCTCAAGGCTTCTTTGACGATATTTATTCTATGAACATGGGGTCCACATGTTTGAACAATAAATACCGAGAACTGTAATTGTATTGATTGGTACACAAAAATTGAATGTAGCAAAAAAAATTGGTTACGGAGATCAAAAACACATTCACTTAAATGCGAACCACATCAAGTAGAGCTAATTTAAAGAAAAACGTCAAGTATGTTCTGTGTGCGATAGAATTTACTTCCTCTTAGCCACAATAATATCGATTTGATATCAAAAAATGCTCGCTGTATGAGCATTGAAAAGATGTTGGGGGGAGAAAAGCGACAGTATTTGTTGAGGCATAAAATATTTACCTAGTTACGTTTCAATTGAAATCAAACGGAACAAAAAAAAATGTATTCAAATATAATGTGAGCGGGAGAGTCGAATTTCTGGAATTGGACTTTGTTCAAATTCGCCAAAATAATTTGCAGGCATGACGGATTTCGTCTGTAATCCCCAGCGTAATTGTAAAGTCTTTGGTGTTCTTGTTACTGGGGAGCACATCTAATTGATTGTGTTAATTCCCCATTTTCCGGTGACATGGTCACTAGCGTGAGTGGCTGTGTTTTTGAAGGGCGGGCCAATTAAGGTAATTGTCCTTCATTAAAAGCAATAAACATCACATTCTTCACCTTCCAGCCACAGTTAAAAGATTGTGAAACTTTTTTTTGAAATACATTGTTTTTCTCGTGTCGCAAATCCGAAGAAACTTGGACTCAAATCAAACCCACGCAATTTCGTTTTCCTTAGGCCCATCTTTATACTCATCTCTATTTTCATTAAAGTTGTAATTCGGAAAACAATCATTTGGCTTGTACAACTCAATGTGGGGATAACAAGAAATCGCAAAAATAAACATTGACTTAACGAACGATGCTGTTTCTGTTGGAAAATAATCTAAAATAAAAATCGGCTGCTTGAACTTGTACCGAGTGGATATATTGATTATGAGTTGCTTTCGTTTTCTATTTTCATTAGTCATCGTCGTTTCTATTTTCATTAGTCATCGTCTAGGAAAATGAAAAAGAAGAGAAAAACACCGACTGAAGATAAATCTAAAAATGAGATCGGAATGGATGACAAAGAAAACGAAATGCAAGGCAAGGCAAACAGCCAGCAGATTGAATATTTCCGCTCTAGAAAGTCGTTGAGTCAGCGATGCGACAAAAAGCCAAATCCCACGACGCTGCACACTGGATGATACTAATCACATATTATCACAAAGGAATCAGAATGAATGCGCACCGTTATCTTCCTTCAGCATATTATTCCCGCTGACTGCGGATGGCTTTCGTAAAATGCAATAACGTCAGTCGAATGTGTTTTGCATTAAACCTTATTTCAATGCATGTATTTGCATATCTCTGTTAAATTATCTCGTGCATTCTTATGATGTCTAAAACTGTTTACTCGCGACCGATCAAAGAACAAGGGAAAATGAAAAACGAAAGAATTCTTGTTGAATTGGTTGTGTACAGTTCAGAAAAGAAAGGAGCTCGGGTTCAACAATGGCGGTAATTTATAATCAAATATTTGCGCAGCATTTCATTTAATTGTGCTCTTGTTAAATTTCTTAGGCGCGTCAGCTCGTTCAGTGTGTATACATAAGAAATCCCCCTAAGAATCGCCTTAAATCAACTAGCAACGTGTTCGTGTGGATTTAAATTGATTGCGGTGAATTCGCCGCTTAATTTCAACATCAAGCTAATTTCGATTTGCACACCGGTTGTTTGACGTCAATCGAAAAAGAGGCACCCCAATTAGCCGAAAAAACACTTCGAGGTACTTTTGCCGATTTTACAATGCCACCACCATATTGTATCAAACGGCGGAATTAGAAAAAAAATCGCATGTTGTTGGACGAAATGCTCGTTCCTTGTTCACATATAATGGAATGAAAACAAAAAAGTATTCGAAAAATGCTTCCTTTTGACTTTAACCTTTTAAACTTTTTCGGAATTTATTTGATGCAAAGAGAGAAAAAAATGAACGAGAATTTACCTGCTTTGAATTTTCGCGCATTTGTCTTCGGGCAATTTCGAGCAACAATCGTTGTCGCAGCACATCAAGTGGATTAACAATAGAAAGTGACGGTTTTGTTCGCTTCTCTAACATGAAGTCATCCTATTGACGTGCACACAGATGCCGTATGTGATGATGCAGATATTGCGCGCAGCAGAAGAAAAAAAAAGCCACATGAAATAGAAAGAGAATAGAAATGTCATAAATCAGTGAAATACTTTGTGCCATAAAATTAGGATGCGTGGGTATGTCACAATAGTTGCTTTTCAACGGGCCCTATGAGATTGCGTCAGCGAAAATATCTCTCCAAACAAAACGATGGTGCTTTTTTCGGTTGAAATAAACAACCACGAAATTTGCTATCTGCTGCCCCCATGCACAAAACAAAAAGACACACGCAATTCAATTAAAATGTAATTAAATTGAAGATTAAATCGTTGGAGCATCGCCTCAGTTTGTACTTACGAAAAACCCGCATTGGCAATCATGCAAATGCACTTGTGGCTGGCACGTATTTAAATATTTATGACCATATGCAACACTTCCACTTCCGTTCATTCCGAATTGGTTTTGAGTGTAAACAACAACAACAATAGCAACAACAACGACCACATATGTTGACCTGTGGAAATTGTTTTTCCATCGACGCTTCCGTTCACATTCTTCGTAAAATCGCAATTTGAACGTGAGAGCGTAGAAACTCAAATTCTCAGAAACGTATGCCTCAGCATCAAAAGCACCCTCATATGTTGGATCATTTTCAGTTGAGCCACTTTTTGCCAAAGCATATCTCAAGGATAACCCATCGTCAAGCATGTGCCAACCCGATCGAAGATTAATGAAAATATTTTCGTATAATTTCATGCAGAACTCTTCTTACCCGAAAGCCAAATGGTGTGTTATCTAAACGTCGATATTTTGCTAATGGTGGAGGTGCATAAACACATTCACTTGCCGTTATTAGTGTGATGGTCAGTAGCGATAGAAGCCACAGCGTGGCTACCATATTTTCTGTAAAAGAAAGAGAGAGAGAGAGAGAGAGCAAAAGAGAAATAGATTTAATTATTTAATTCATTAAACCACACTGACATCAGATACTTTAATCTGCAATCTGTTTATAATATACATATTAAATCAGATGGTGCTGGGTGTGAACATAATTTACACCAGTTCTGTATTTAATTTTCTCAAAATGAAAACTGACGACTATACTCTGTTGATAGACTTTACTCTAAGGAAGTTTCAAGTCAAGCGACTTGAAACAGTGCTACGTCATAAATCACAACCGTTGCTCGAGCATAGTAGTTATGTTGAAAATTAAGGCAACACTTTGGTTGTTCTGAGCGGTGTTGTTCTGCAAACTTTTTAATAGTGCTTGAGGTAAGGTGATTGATGGAAAATGATAAAATAGCTACTTTTCGCAGTGTGAATGGCTTGTGCTAAAGCCATTCTGCCATTGCATAATGGGAGAAAAAATAACAGTCCTGTTACAGAAATCATAAAAGTTGATTGAATTTCAGCAGCCAAAGAAATGGCTCGGATATTGAGATGTTAACAAAGAAATTCATCTCGATTACCGGGTGAATGCATAAAAATATTTTTTTAAATTTTCATTTGGAAAATTGAAAAAGCGCAGGTTTTTGCGGAAAGAAAACCTAATTTCCTCGTGAAAACTCGTTTATGGCATACTATTGAAAATTGCGAATGGTGCTGATTATGTGTGTGGGCATGGAAATAGTTTTTCTAATGGAAAATTCCATTTAACAAATGAATACATATCTGGCTTCACCGCCAACCGCCAGAACAATATAATCTTCAATTTCTGCACTACACATCTGTTGTTAAAATGTCAGAAATGGCACGTGTACATGAGCTCGATTTGACGAAATAATAGGCTGCTGTACAATTGAACCCGTGAGCATAAAAACGACTTATTAAACAATCGCCGAACAAAACGATACAAGAAAAAACTACCGAACAAAACGTACCACAGCGGTGTAGCACAGCGGAGTTTCGTTTTGAACGGTACCGTCCTGCTGTGTTACGATTTTAACGTGTGTTTTGTTTGGTAGTTTTTTCTTGTATCGTTTTGTTCGGCGATTGTTCAATAAGTCGTTTTTATGCTCACGGGTTCAATTATATATGCGGTGCAGACATCATTCAAAATGTTCAGTTCAAAAGTGATTTCCACGAATTAAACCGCCAAAACGTTGATGTTCATTAAACTTGTTGGCAATATTTTCCGCAAATAAAACTGCCAAATGCAGATTAATGTAAGCCTATTGTTATTCAACCGATTCGGGAAAATTTAAATAGAAAATAGTTTTGTGCAAATCAAATAACACATGTGACGAACAATCGCAACATTATCCTGTTCACCGCGAACCTGTTTCAATTAGTTCTATTTGCTTAGAACAACAAGCAAAATATGTTGCTCTGCACAACAGTTCCGAATAAGTTTCAAGCCATCTGCTGCGAATTATTCGCATATAAACCCGTGCTCAAATCGATTCACGATACATATTCAAGCTCATAAATTCGTCAGCGCGCTCACATCAGTTTTTCCACTCTCGGCTCTGGCACATTGCTGCAGCGCACACGATTCGCTGGCAAATACGAGTTTCAAACCGAATGCAAGCAACAAGTTCTGAATATACCGGGAAACCAGAACAGTGTAACGTAAATGGGTTTCGAGGTAGAGCTCATGATTTAGCAGCATAAAATATTATCCTTAAATCACCGAACAATTCAACTCAAGGTCGACAAAATGTGCCAAACCATTTCAATTGGATGATTTTAATTGCAGTTTTATCGACGGCAAATTGCAACGCAAATGGCAGAGCATGCATGAACGGTGTATTTATTTGCTCATTTCTGCAACATTCGGTAGAGCATCGAAATGCTACCAGTTTGTTTGAAATGTTAGTAGTTTTATTCGGTTTTTGGTTTCGTGGAACAGATGCAACTTTTCAAATTATGAAATAAATTATTGTTGATTTAGGTTTTGGGTTCGCATTTGTTGCGAATAAAATGCGTTCAAACGCTTTAGATCGGTTAAAATGACGTTTAAGCGACAAAGTTTCTGAAAAATATTGATTTAGCTAAATAATTAAGGAATGAAGGGTATTTGTAAAATATGTACGTTTTGATTCTGAATAACGTTTTCCCATCATTTCACCGAACCGCACCGTACCACTAACTTAAGTCAGTACAAACTTTGTGATGTACAATTTCGGATATTCTTCAGCAAAAAGCTCTTCTACTCCGCATCAAAAGCTTACACGGTGCACAGCAATTCGAACTAAGCTTACAGGCACTCACTGCTTTAGACAAAATTGTACTATATATTTCATTTGAACAGAGTTGACAGTGTCAACTTGACACAAGCACATATTGGGATTAAATGCTTATTTCCCACTGTTGACACAATCCAATGTCATGAACCACTCAATCAGACAAGTGCACGTGTGCCGTTCACCGCAAATCCAATCAATTGTTTGCAAGCCCAGTTCACATCCGTATACATTGTTTTATGTTCCCATTTGTTTAACTCAAAAGCATTAACAGTAAATAATTTGCTTTAAAAAACAAGGGAGAGGGATAAAAAATGCACAGTCATTTTTGATGTCTAAGTCACTTCCGAAAATATCGAGTTTAAAAATAGTGAATTTCAGTGATGCGGCTTTTCAGCACATAAGACCAAGCAATGAGTTGACGTGCATGTCAACCTGTGTATTAAAAGCGATTTATTCGCACCAAAGTGTATGGATCTATCAATAGAATGTATTATGCAGTTTAGTAACCTACATAAAAGTGGGCTAGAGCGATGTGACGCACCATCGGATGGAGATAGAAATGGCATGTCTCAACTTGGGACTCTCAAGCAAGGGAAAATTGATCCGTATTTAGCCGAATAACAGGCATTTGTTTACACATTCGAATTCCCACTAACTTGAAACATGGGAATGCATTATGGAAATTCCACATTTTATGAGGAAACGTCTATAAATAAGTATACAATGACACGAATTATTTTCGTTACATTTCTCATGCTTCGAATCACTCTTTGTCAAGCGAAAGCGTTTCCAAGCAGAAGGAAGATTGTGTGCATATTATGAGTTTCATTTGTGAAATTCCGAAAATTTATACGCAAATACCGTTGACTTTGAGTATATTGAGTGCAATAAATACATTAGCTTGGAAAATTGAACGAACACATTTTCGAATAAACCATTTGCAAATTGAATGTATGAGTGTTTTTGCTGTAAATTTCAATATTAAACGCCTGTCTATGAATTTGGGGAATTTAGGCGAAAAAAAAAATTGCAAGCTGTTTATCACATAACTTAATATGATTTCATTATTCTGAGCTTTTTTTCATTTTCTGCTCCTTTACAACAACTCGGAAAAGGTAGCTAATTCATACGAAAACTTTTTCTATTAAAATTCATTGTATGGTGCCAAATATACATGTCCCAATATTTTTTGGAAGTATTTTTCCACCAAAGGTTGCGGCTCAGAGGCTTAAGCACTTTGCCCATTTCAATTCGCTGTAACGTTCAATCTTCAGGTGTTGATACCCACCATTGTGGATATTTAGTTAATTTAGCGATAAACATTCTTTAGCATTTCGCTGGAATTTTCTTTTACTATTTGCCGTTGGTGTGATTACTTAGCTACCAGTGGGATTGGACCAAACATTATGTGACAAAGATATATTTACACAATTTTATTCGAGGTCATGCCATTCGGCCTCTCTAATTTTCCGTTCATATTCGCGTGAATAGTCTCTTAGGCAATGAAATCCCATTTGAAATTAGAGAAAATGTGAAAAATATTTAGTAATAATTTTCGGTGGGCAAACATTTTTTTTTCTTGGATTCAGAAGTTCAAACAGAATCAAGCATCGGCTGTTGCAATGTTTGTTCCGACAAAATCGTTCCGGGGCAGAAAAAAAAGTTTCGTTTCGATGTTGATTGAGCGAACCATTTGTTTGGCAAATAAAATTCATGACCAATGTTTACGAGAGTTTGAATTATGTAGGCGATATAAAAATGAATCTAAACCAATGATAAGGTCATAAATGAAATCTTTATCATAGTGGGTTTTAGTGGGTCAAAATTGTGTGGTATACGGTACTTCATTCAATTCGGCATACACCAAGTACCAGCGTGCGATTTTTTTTTTCTTCTCGCTTTGGTGTTTGAAAATTCATTCACATGAACATGTTGCGGAGTTTTGCGTCAATTTTTATTGCATTATTTATGGAACCATTACGATTTTCTCGATATGGGTGCGGGTAAAATCCGAAATATTTCAGTATTTGTTTTCGCTGACACGGACGCATTAAGACAAAACAACTTATTTAGATTTTTTTTTCGTTGACCAAAACACAATGATGACTAAGAATAGCCCGTGTATATACGGCTAGTAAAAATCTCTGTCCTGAAGGCCACATGAAGGGTACCATAAGCCCGGTTTATGATTGCTTATAGAAATAAACGCAAATGTATTTATTACATCGTCAATTGTTTTCGGGGCCCGATTTATTGATTTCCATACGGTCATTCTTCCTTGTGAATATCATTCGGCCATAAACGAATAATCTGACTGTGCATGGTGCAATTCATAAGCTGTCATGCCGCTATATTCAATTCATTGGTGCAAGTCGTTTGACTTTATGGCCAAATATCAATTAACAGTAAACAATATTTTGTTCAGCATTTCCCTTTTCTCGTGTCGAACGAAATTATTTAATTAAGATCAATGTTTACGCAGAAAATTTCCCTCTATTGACACTTGCGCAATCTACGGAAATTAAAATGTGAATGGGGTAGAGTTGAAAAAACACAAGGGTTAACAACAATGTCTTAATAATGAAAGTTTTTGCGTAGGTCGCTGAATAGCATCGACGAATCGCTTCGATTGCCAAGTGTGAAAGTCATCACAATTTGATCCCAATAAAATATTCGCGTGCACGAAGAGCAAATAAATATGAACTATGAAAGTGA